TGTCTGTCGTTCTCACAAATTCTCCTTTGTAATTGCCTTTCCTCCCCAGCCCCAGTGGGTACGTAAGTGTTGAGACAAAGAGTTCAGGTACCCATTAAATTCATTTATGGTTTGCCTCTACTGGCTGTTTCTTTTCAGCCTAAGATGTCATCGACCTTAGATTACTTGCTCTTCAAGCACAGAGACTGGGTCTCCATGCCATTGCTTAGGCCAGTGCATGGGTAGACTAGATAGATGGTCATGGATGTGCCTCACTCTTGAACAGATCTGACATTTCTTCTTGCAGGAGGAGTGGAAATGGCCAAAGTCCCACTTGGACCAATGTCTAAACAACTGTGATTTCCTTTAACATGTCTATGTAATCTAAGGAAAATAAATGTCCCCACTAGTAAAGAAAAAGCTCTTTCTTACTTGAAAAGCAAGAAAATTAGCTTGAACTGGCAGGTTTTAAGTCTCCAAGGAAATTTGAGGTGGAAGAATTTCAACCTTCAGTGACCTTCGCTTTTGAGGTTTTGATTTAGTTTTGGCGGCCAGGTGGTTAGTGGAAGGGAAGGGCGTCACCTCAAGAACACTGGCCTCTTTTACTCAGTCTTTCTTTTAGTCACCCATTCAGAAATTATTCACTGACCTACTGCTTGGCATAGGGCACTGGGAGTTCAAAGTTATGTGCTGAAATCAGAGAGCATAGAACCGTGCAATTACTGGGTTCATCCAAGGTGCTTTGTTTTCATGGTTGAAAGGGAAATAAATTTGACAAGAATAACAGGGTGGGTCCTCAGCTCCTCATATGGCTGGGAACCTGTCAGAGCAAATGTGTAAATGCACAGCTTGCACGTGGTGTCCTTCCTGCCTCGGAGCTCCCCCAGGTCACCAATCAATGGTTACTGATGCAGAGGAAGAAAAATGGCAGGGACTTGGCTCAGGCCCTAGCCTACCTAATGATAGGCAGTGGTAGCTCTTAAAACTACAGAAGACCACAAAATTGATTTGGTCTAGACAGTGTGCTGTGGTCTTCAAGGTCAGTAGAATAAAAGTTACAAAGCTTGTTTCCTCCCATATTACTCATGCTCAACACCTTCTTAGACCTCCTCTGTGCAGATACGACATGCCATCCAAGACTCCGGCATAGGAAGGCCAGGTGGGGAAGCCCATAGCTTGGAGCAGGACATATCTAGGCACTTGCTAGTCATAAAACCTTGGGCAAACCCCTACCACTCTCTGAATCTCCATCTCCTTCTCTGTAGAGTGGAGTAATTATAGTTCCTACCTAGCTCATGAGGAGGTATGAGGATGGAACGAGATCATTATATAAGGATTTAACTCTGAGACTGACATGTAGTGAGTCAGGCTAACTCTGCCGCTTTTATCAGTCTGATTATTATCATAGTGAATTGCTTTGATGAAGTGCAAAATGAGTGTGGTATCTACTACATCCTTTGCTTTCTGAGATGCTCATCTGTCCACGTCTCCATGGATTATTTCCAACTGGTGATTCCTTCCATGAGTTATTCTGTAGATAACTGGCATGAGCTCAGCTTCCCAATATTTTGGGAATTTCAGTTCCTGAGTGGTGGAATATGCAGTTCCTGTGTGTGGCTCTTCCACCTGCAAGCTCTTCATCCCCAGGCTTGACTGAGCAGGCCTGGCTGGCGGGATGGGTACCCATGGGTCCCCTATACTGTTTCCACTTGTTCCCCTCTGAAGTAACTGGTGAAGAGGACAAGCTTCTCAATGGAAAGAAGACCCAGGGCATCAACAACAACAACAACAAAATCAAGAAATACTATCTTAGGGAAAGCTGACTGTGTTCAGATATTGTACCAGGCTCTGGTATTATGACCATGTCAGATCAAGTCTTGCCTCCACGGGCTTCTATCTTATGAGAACAAGTCAACCCCAAACCAGAAAACAATTAAATAAAATTATCTTTCTAAAATGGGTCCCCCCTGCTCGTCTCTGTCTCACCACCTTGTCTGACTCATTCACAGCAGAGACCACAATATGTAATTATTTTGTTTTCTTTTTAACTCCCTACCACTGGGCACTGAACATGCATTCAGTGCTGTATCCCGGCACGCACAGTGGGGCTTTGCACGTCAAGCACTCAGTGAATGCAGAGCGAAGTTACAAATGATCAAGCAATGCTTTGTGAAATTTTTGATTCAGGCCCAGAGTTTAAACTTTGCTTTTTGTTGCTAGTAGTGGTCAGTCACTACTATATGTAGTGGAAACTGAAAGGAAAATCTGCTTCTATAATACAAGCAGCTTTTATTTTGTAAGATGTGTGGGTTTCTTAAGGAGATCATTCTATCCCAGATTAACTGGCTGTGACTTAATTAAAAAGGCCACTAGAACACATTTGTCATCTGAACTTGACACTTGGGACATGTGGAAGTGTCTGGCAGGAACTGGGATAGGGGAGCTGGGTGGGGTTGATTTGGCCTGAGGAGGGCTACTTGCCTGTGAGGAGAAGAGATTCTCTTACTTTACTATCCCCTTTCCTTCCCCAGTGTGGCATCTAGGGCTAACAGGCTATAGTCAACATGTCAGTTGACAAAGTTGTTGTGCCCTAGGAGTAGAACTGTTATACCATAAAGTTCTGTTGTCTGACAGTACCAGGTAGCAGCAGACATCTGTGTAACTTGTGGTCTGGGAAGCATATAACAGGACCTAGCATTTACTGTGAACATACTATGTGCCAGGCCTTGTCACACATCATCTGTGGTCATCAAAGCAGCCTGACCCGGTAGGCATTATTTCCACTCTATGGATAACATCCCAGAGCTGTAACCTCATGGCCCCTCCCAAGATCCCAGGTATGACACTGTAGCCTCTTAAGGCAAGAGAAGCTGAGCTCAGGAAGTGCGCAGTTTACTCTAGGCAGCAGGACACTGGGCAGCTGTCCCCACATCTGAGCATGTGCGCATTCTCTCACATGCTGTGCCATGTGGTTCTTCTCCACACAGTGCCCCAAGCAGACCCTACCAGACATTCTCCATGGCAAGTGAAACATGAGTTTGCCACACATACTTCCAACTGTGTAGTAAAGGGTTTTGCCCTAAGAAATAGAATCCTGGATTCAGAGTGTTACACTAAAGCCATGCGACTTAAAGCAAATTTCTTATCTCACCTGACCTCAGTTTACGTGTAGAATGAGAAACCCCTTATTGTACTGGCTTCAGAAAGTCACCATATAAATGTAAGCCAGTGGATGCATTTCAGTGACACCACAGTGCTGTTTTTAATTGTACCCGGATGGTGAATCAATTAAGAGTGGGGTCGCCTTACAAACACGAAGCATCCTCAGGAGTAGCAAGTGTGCCTAGAGGGGTTATCGGATCATCTTCTCGGGGCTCTCCCCCTGCCCCCAAAGACCCTGAGTGGAATATCTGACTTCTTGAAAGTTACTTGGGGAGTTTATTAATGCAGACTCCTGGGTACCATCCCAGAATGGCTGATTAGAATCCCTAAGGATGGTTCCTGGCATCAGCGTCTCCAAATCATTCTTCAGGTGATTCTGCTGTGTGTGGCACCACTGCTTCCATGGAAAAATAGAGAGAACTAGAACTCTGCTGCTCTGGATAGAACCATGTTCAACTTTGGGAGTTTAGCTATCTAGGTGTCTGCCCATGCAAAAAGAGGTCCCTTCCCTCTTTGTCTGGCAAATTCTTATTCTTCCTTTAGGCCTATTCAACAGCCTCATCCTTTGGGAAGACCTCTCTCACTGGGCTTCTAGAGTCCCCCAACCCATGTTTAGAGCATCTGCTGTGTACCTGGTTCTCTGCCAAGGTCTAAAATGCATTACTACATTTGTTCCTTTCCCTTTGAGAATAGACAATGTCATTACCACCACCTTGGAGTTGAGAAAGGGTTAAGAAAAGTGAAGTGACTGTCTCTGAGATATTTGGCTCTTAACTGCATTGTAGCTAATCCTAACAGGTCTGTCTCTGCTGCACGAGTGAGAGTTCCTTAACCAAGGGAGTTGCTGACCTTTGTATTTCTGGGAGCAAACACAGGGCTGGGCACACAGGAGATGCTCAACAAACTTTGTTGAAATGAAGAAATTACAGAACAATGATAGGAATATGAATAAAAATAGCTTTGGTTGCTTTCCAGTCTCTGCCTTTGTTCAGGCTCAGGGTGCTGATAGAGGAAGAGGAGGTAGACTTCTCCAGGAGTTAAAGACTCCAGATGTGACCCTCCTATAACCTCATGCCAGTGATTCTGGTCTTTGGTGACTTGCAGACTTAGCAAGTCACAAACTAGGCACTCAAGAAACACTTCACTGGTTGGTTAAGCTACGGATGCGGAAGAGAAGTGAACATATCTTTGATGAGCTTTATTGTGGTTTGTAGATGAAACTTTTTCTAAAAAGGAAAAAACATTTTTCCAAGTCTAACTTGGCAGACTGCCTTTGTCAAAAATTTATAAATTCATTTTAGATACAATTATCTTTAGTTCAATAATGACTTTTCTGAATATTGGTTTTTCTGGCTATAAAATAGGAAGATTGGAGAAGATGTCTAAGTTTCTTTCAAGCATTGTGGTTCTGTGATTGCATTAGGACCTTGGATGAAGTTTAGAACAAATTTAAATTACCCAAGTACAAAGCAGCTCTAAAAGTAGAATATCTCCAAGTGAATTAGATTTTCTTTCCAGTCTAATCTCTTCTTCCAAGTAAATTAGAATCTGAACTTTGTATCTAAATTTCTCAGCCTTGATATATGGCAACATTTAGAAAAAAGGAAACACAGAAAGATGTGAACTATGATCACATGAATACAAATAATATAAACCAGTTATCCTAGAGCTTAACAGTTCCTCATAATTTCTCGGGCTTCCTTAGAACTGTTCATTTACATACCTCTGTTAAAGGTTTTGAGTGACATGGTGAGAATGGTAAGGATTGCATGTGCTGTTTTATTGCTTTTCTTCTTTTCCTTAATCAAAGTCATGCTCCCCGTTTACATTTGAACTTCGTTTTATCTTCTGTTTTGCAGCGAAAACGGAAGCAGAGCGCCCAAGATGAAGATGCTGTTAGCCTTTGCAGTCTCGACATAAGTGTAAGTATAATTCTTTCTACTTTCCTGCGTCTGTGAGTGTTATTTGTTAATATGCTGTATTTCTGAAGTGGGCTTCTGGGATTTGACTCTGGAAGTTGTGACTTGGGAAAATTAAAAAAAAAAAAATTTATTTCACTGGAGAAAGCTATGTGGCCAACTTAAACTTCCAAGCCGAGTTATTTATCCCTTCTGTCTTTTCTCTCATAAAACGAGTTATGAACTCAGTGCATCTGGGTAGAAAATAGATAAGTCTTGCTGTGCTATTTTAGAGGCTAATTCAAGAAGATTTTTGTCCCCCATCGAGCGGGGGAAAGTTAGTGGATTAGCCCAACTCAGGGAGCTGGATGCCCAAAGGCCAGAAGGAAACTCCAGCTGCAGTAGAGGGAGTGCCTTTGGGTTCCGTTTGAATCAAAATTCTGTGCTTAATTTATGTGACACCTTTCTGCACCTATTTCCTCATCTGGAAAACAGAGAGAAAAGACTTAACACAATTTTTATGAGGGTCACATAAGACAATAAAAGTGAGAATACCAAGCACATTGCCTGGTATATAATAGCCAAAAACTTTAGCTTCATTGTATTTTTCTTTAAACAGAAATTTGCAAAAGACACATGAGTGACTTGGTAGTGGAGAGCTGGTGAGGGGAGAGGTAAAAAGCTCCCTTGGATTTTTCAGGCCCTGTCCTTAGATGCTCACTTTCAGCAGCTTTCTTTTCCTGGCCTCCTTTCCCCCACTAACGAGACTGGGGAGCCTACCTGGGTCTATGACACCCTCATTATCCAGGAGCTGGGTGTGGGGTGGGAATTTAGACCTTCCCTGGACTCATCTTGTCTATTCATCTCTTATAATTCCCTAAGATTTAAGCCCTGTGCTTTGTGCATCCATCTAATATTAGGCCCTGGTCTCTCTGCTCTGCAGAAACCTCCAAAGCTATTCTTAGGAGATGACAAAGCTTTGTGGTAGGAATTAAGAACCTAGGCATGATCTTGGCTCTACCTGTAACTATAATAACAATGTATCCTTGGGCAAGTCACTTCCTCAAGCTGGGCCTTAGTTTCGTCATTTGTTTAAAAAAAAATTTTTTTTTTGGAACCAGATCTCAAACCACTGTGAAAATGTGAAAGTCGTTAAATATGGATTATTAGGTAGTCATCTGATGACATTTATTTACCAGTATAAGCAACGTCTTTTTAGTTATTTTTAATGATTGCAGATTTTTATGTGATGCAAACAACCACAACAGAGCGAGCCTGAGCTGGCATCTAATTAAGGTACTTGAGTGATTTTATTTCACCATATGGTGTTTGTTCCCGTTTTTGGACCACCAGAAGAATGGAGTTGGGCCAGCTTACGAGGTTGCCACAGTGACAGGACAAAAAGATGATGTTCTTCTCAGTTTTACTTTACTCATTGAGTATTTTGCTATTGACAAGTCAAGTCTTGGAATTTCCTTTATCAGCAATAAGATTTTTTGTACTTGAATTTTTTAAATTTTGTGGAAATCTATCTTTTAGAATTTAAAGACTTTCAGAACTTAAAGACTGTTAGCATTTACAGAGCCCCTAGCCATTATGTACTCCAAAGTAAGGGGTTACTTTGCAAATGAAGTAGAAGCCCAGGGGGGTATAGTAACCCATGCAAGACTTTAACTCAGGTCATTTCTAAGATCATGCCTCATCTGACATTTTTCCTCCACTATATATTGATTTTTTTTTGCAATTTTTGGCTGGGGCTGGGTTTGAACCCGCCACCCCTGGTATATGGGGCTGGTGCCCTACTCCTTGAGCCCTGATATTTATTTTTCAGGAGAGCATGTCTCCAGATTTTGTTGTTGTTGTTGTTATCAAACAATCACTAAGTTATGTTACATTAAGGGATAATTTGCAATTGGGAGTTGTGATTTGGTCTTTCTCTTGACTGGCATCAATGGCCTTCCCGTCCCAGCAAGGTCATTTAAGTCCCAGAAGATGGAAATTTTGACTTCTTTTCTCCTAGTACAGCCCTGGATGATGTTTTTCCCTTTCTTTAACCATCTCATGTATCACGTTTTGTGTCAGTAAGAGACTTTTATAGACGAGAAACTGATCTCATTACCACCAGGAAGGCTATGCTTAGAGATTTGGCTCTAACAGAATTCATTTCTGGATTATCTGGCATGTTTCCTGAATCCTGGCAAAGAGATTTTTCAGAACCAGGGCTGAGTTTCCTCCATTTATTGCCACATAGTATTACAATAATTATGGAATTAGAAGGATTCTAGAAGCTGTGGGAGAAACATGAAACCACCTGGTTTGTAGGTTCCACTGACCATGAAAGCCACGTGGAGACACAGGAGATGTAACAAATCCAGATGTGGTCATAGGGAAGTGTGACTAATTTTAAGTACCTTCAGTAGACACTCAGGAGAGATGAATTGAATTGAATGAAGTGGTAGGTAGGGCCACACATGAGAAGATGTTTTGCCATAAGGCAACAATGGCTACATGAACATCTGAGTCCAGTAAACTGTTCTAACAAACAAACGGCTTTGTGGGCTACCCAAAGGGATTTTATCTTTGTACTTTTGAATAGTGATGTCCAGTAGCATCCTGGTCTCTTAACAAACTGACAGCTTCACTGAAGATTTGTTCTGAGTCTGCTTCTGTGTGTAGTGGAAAAGTAACTGAGAGGAAAAAAAAAAAAGGTGGGTTCTAATGGGTGACTCATACCAGGGGATGTGAGGGTTTGGGAAAGTAATATGAGTAACTCTCAATTTTGATTCCATTTAATGAGTGGAAAGACAGTCATCACCTGTGTGCTTTGAACAAGAAATTGCTAGATGAGGGGACAGGGGTCTTCTAGTCAAACTTCTATTGAGTCCCAGTCCAGTGCTGGTACCCAGGGAGCTCTTTCTAAATACTGTTGATTGATGAGTTTGTTATATATTTATGTTTATTCTTCCACATACTTTCAAATTTATTTTGAAAATATATTTTTATTTCAACAGATTTAGAGGGTACAAATGGTTTTCTAACACATGGATGAACTGTACAGTGTGAAGTCAGGCCATTTAGTGTAATCATCTACATTGTACCTGAGAGGTACTTCTTGATTCTTTTCTAACCCTGCCACCAGCACTGTCTCCACTTCTGGGTCTCCAAAGTCCATGTACCACTCTGTATGACCATGTATACCCATCAAAACAAAATCAATGAGATCCCTGAATGTGTACCCTTTTAAAAGAAATTTATCTGTGACATAAAGTTGGGAAACGTTAACATGATGAAATCTCTCTTTGAGTAAAAAGTAAGTGCCATATAGAACCCTTCAGGGTGCCTGAGTGGTGATAACACTAAACATTCCCACTGACTTCTTGCTTTGTTTTAAAGCCTTGGATGATGATTTTGTTAGGTTACCTGAGCAGAGTGTTCCTACTGAGCCCCTCTCCTGTTGAACTTGGACTTGCTAAGAAGAGAGCATATTCTTACAGACAGGAATCCTCAATTGTTTTGGGGGGGGGTGGAGGGGATATATCACTGACTCTTTTGGGAATCTGGTGATAGCTCTGGGCTCCAGGAAATTTTACAAGATAGATGTGTGATCTTAGGAGGTTCATGGACGCTGGCCAAGATCCCATATTTAAGAATTGGAAGGCCCTTAAAGTCTGGTGATGGGTGACATATCTCCACATATTAATAATTGTTCTCCCACCCTCCACCCCCAGCACTTAGTGAAAAATGAATTCAGACAGGAGAATCATTGCTAGTTGAGGATATAATTGGTCTCTATTATTTCCCACCACTTCACCCAATCCCCCAGCTGAGCCCCCAGCTTCCTGGCAGGATAGAACACAAACTATTCCAGAGGAAAAATAAAAAGCAATGAATACTTTTGAGAACAACCTGCAGAGTGCAGAAGGCTCTCAGCAGCCGCCTACGAATCTCCTCTCACGTCAGAGGATACGAGTGGGATGGCTTCAGAGAGCTCACTTCCCCCACAGAATTTAGATTTTCTAGTTTAAATTCTAGTGTGTAAGAGATGCCCGAGTGATAGGCTATGGCCTCCCCCCCACCCCCGAAAGACTCTTGGTGGGAGAGGCAGGTGTGTTCCCAGGGAGAGAATAGCTCAGCACCAGACCTTTGCTCAAAAACAAATGAGCTCTGGGTGGACATAAAAATAGTCTCCAATGATAAGACAATTTATTAGGTGAAAAGGAATATATGTTCTTTGCAAAAAAAATTGGAAAATGTGAATAATAAAGTTCACAATCACACCTCAAAGCAGTAGCCACGTTTTGATGTATTTCCTTCTTTTGGTTATATACACACCTTTAACATATTTTTATTATGAAGTATTTCAGACATACAACATGGCATAAAGAATATAAAACCCCACATAGCTACAATGTAACTGAAGAAATATGTCTTTAGCAGTAAAGCTAAAGGCCCTTGCAAAATTCTCACTTTGTTGAGTTGGAAGTTTATTTCTGTCTGCCTTGACTATATGACTATATACCTGCTAAGTTCATATGTCTCTAAATAGTATATATACACCTTTAGCCAACTTTTGAAATTTGTATAAGCTCATACAGTTTTTTAAAATTAGGATCATAGCAGAAATTAATTTATTCCTCTAGTTTTCAGTTACTATATTGATAGCACATCACTATATCCTGAAACATTCTTCAAGAACATTATTTTTTAATAGTAATAGAGTACTTTGTCAAATGGATGCACCAAATTTATTAAATCAATCCTTTATTGGGTGTTTAAGTTCTAATGAACTGTTACGAATAACGTTGATGGGCATCCAAGAATATCTTTGTGTAATCTCTTTTATCAGGAGGACAAAGTAGGAGATATGAAATTCCTGGGGTATAATTTTTTTTTTGAGCTTGTGAACAGATTTATACCCCTTCTGGCAGTGAGAGATGGAAATTAACTTTAGAGGCACTGGGAGTCTTGTAGGGAACCTCATGGGTTGGGGGGATTGTTTTCAGGTTTCTCTGGCCCATCTCTCT